TCAGGGTGTCAAGAGAGATATAAGGTGATTCTTACTCTTTGGATGCCTCGAACATAGACATATTGGGTTGTTGTAGAGTTTCTCTGATATTACCTTTCCATGTTGTTCTTAGTCTACCTCATACTCTACATCCATCTTCTCTTTTTATATATACCTTGTACAATGGCAAATTTTAACACACCCCCCCCCCCCCCCCCAAGCACTGCAATTACTGCATGTATTTACCACTTCTGCGGTGCAGGCAGGGGGTATTTGAGCCTGAGGATTTAGGGCCGAATGGCTAGTGCTGTCGCCCCAGACTGCAAGTTGGGATTTGATTTTCTGAGGATTTCAACCCAAGTTTCCAGCTTGAGAGGCCTGCGTTTTTAACTGCTGGGGCTAGCCACTCCTCAATGGCAAACTCATCATCATCAAGTGTACGCTTATGCCAGCTGGTATAAGCATACATGCATCTTTACAGATATCAGTCTTTGGTGCTCTGGATCAATTCCACTGATGACATTTGTCGATGCTATAGTCTTAAGCCATCCACCATCATTTCTCATAGTCTGCCTCTGCAACCAATCTTCTTTCCAGTCATCATAATATTTTCCAGTGCTCCTTTTCTCATCACTTGACCAAAGAACTTTCTTTGTCTCCTTTTCATTGTTGTATATAATGTTCTACTTTCATTAGCCATTTCCAGGTAATCATTATTAGTTATTCTGGCAGTCCAGAATAGCAAACTACTGAAGATAAAATTACCTAGTACAATTATGCATCAGCAAATAAATGCTGGGTTAGATTTGTGATGTCCTAAAAACTTTATGCAACTAATTTAACTTTTGTGTTTAAAACTGAAAGGATTCATAAACTGTCTGACGAAGTAAGAGTAAACATTACAAGTGAGGAAGAATGGGTTTCAAAAGATGAGAAAGTATTGGTTTTAATAATTGAAAAGTATGGGTTTTAACTCTTTCAGTATCAGGGTGCTTAGCATCAGAGGCCCAAGGGGTAGTAAAAAGAGACATAAAATCTGCGCATCTTGCATTCATTGGAACTTATGAACGTTTGATGCCTACCTTGGGCCTAAAAGAGTTAATAAATTAAAAGTACAGGTTTTAACAAAGGGGTTTTAATAGATGATAAATCCGGCTCTCTAGCGTAGTTGGCTAAACCGGATTACAAGGTGACCAGGTGATGAACTCCTTGTGGTCCGGGTTCATTCCTGGGGGTAGGCATAAAAGCCACATTTCTCCCAGATTTACGGTATTTACAATGGAATCAAGGCCGAAAGGTTACGATATCCATAATACCAAGCCTAAGAGTTAATAACTCATGGCTTCTGGATACTAAAACAAACAAACAATAGATGATAAGTAAGGATAAAGACACAAATTAAGTATTTGTTTCAAAATATGAGAAAAAATGGGTTTTAATGAAAAAGAAAGTATAGGTTTTAATAAATGAGAAAGTATGCATTTTAATTCTAGAAACATAAATGTGGCATTTCGAGATTTGTGCAAAATATTACTTCTAGTGATATACAAGCTGTTTAGTAAAATTAAATTTAGTCAATATTTTGGACATGTTATACGAAGAAATAAAATTAAAAACTTGATGACATCTGGCAAACTAAAGGGAAAACAGAAAGGAGAAGTTAAACAGATAATATCTGAATGGCTTGACCACATGTCTTAGGCAGGACAAAAACACTGACTTGATCTAGGATTCCGGTGACCGTTGAAATGATGAATTATTACTGCTTAAGCTTATAAGCATGGCACAGGATTATAAACCCTACAACAATAGTGATTAAAAATAAACTTCAAGTAATTTTACTATTGACAGGTTTTTTCCCCTTTCTAGTGGTAAACAGTATTGGCATTTTTTTTTTTTAAAAGGCATCAGTTTTTCAGTGCTACTGTAATAAACACTGTGTGGTGAGTACTGGCACCTTTTTAGACACTTTGTGATGAATACCGGTAACCTTTTTTCTAGGAAAGATTTCCTGCTATTGATCTTACATGTAATAATTTTTCTCATTTCTTTTAGTACCAAAAGAAGGTTTTCGCAGGTAATACCAATGAAGATATTCTTCTTCTTCTGCCTTCTAACCAACCAATGGAGCACAGGGCCTCAACCAACTTACGCCAAGTCATTCTATCCTTCACTAAAGCATGCAACTCTCCCCATGTCCTCCTCATCTTTTTAACCTCACTCTCTAGCTTCCTTCTCCATGAAGACATATCTATGATTAAAATTCATCAATACATTACTTTCAAAATAGTAATATAACAGTAGTAGTGACTATTGGACAAGCCAGATTTCTTGAGTGTGTCCTGACCAAATAAAAAAAGTAAGAGAAAATATTAGGTTAGGTAGAAGATTCAGTAGACTAAAAGTATTATATAGATTAAATACAATCATCATCATCCCTGTAATAATAATCACATAAATCGTGTACATCATTAAACAAAAGAGATAAGTAGTGTAACAATGTCTTCAAACATATTGATATTTAAAGTAGTACTACAAAGCAAATTTGAAATAAAAATTTAAAAAAACTGAGAAAATCATTTTACAACCAGTATAGGGATAAGGTTAACTGCAGGTGATTAGGTTGCAAGCTGCTTTTCATTTATTTTAAAAGCGATATGAATGTTGAACAGCTTGGAAATAAATTGTATACTGAATGTATCTCTGAGGATCATGGCCAGAATTACAGAATGCATGCTTTGTGTGATGCTCTTGGCAGGCTGCTAGCCACTCTGCTTAGAGAGATCAAGCCACAAGGGATAAAAACCTAGCGAATGAAGCTGACCTTCTCACCTTTAATCTTTATACAGTAACAAAAGATAATTTTACAAAAGCAAAATAATAATAAGATCCCTTTAGAAGACCTTCATAAACAGGACACTGCAGACTCAACATTTATATAAATTAGGTATGAGCCATACAACTCTTTGCCAGTGTTTCATGCTCAACAGACCCAAGAGCACATCTTGCAAAACTTTCCTCTCCTGGTGGAGCTGAGTAACAATATGTGGCCACATCCAGTAGACCTGACAACTACGCTCAGGGAAAACCTGAGAAACATCAAACTGACATCCCAGTTTATGGTCCACTGTGGATTAACTGCATGACAAGAGATCACTGAAGAAGAAGAAGACCTTCAGGGCCATCAACTTATTACTATCCAGCGACATCGCAGGGAAGTCTGATGGTAATGGCTGGCAGCTGTGGATATCCTAAATATAGTGTGCCATACACCTGCTTTATCTTACATTTAGCACTTAGCTCCATAAATTCTATGAATTTTTGTGTATACATTATTTCATCGTCACATGTGTCTGTCTTCTCTGGCCTTTCACCTCCCCCTGCAGCATGGGTCTTCAACCATTTCAGGCCAAGTCCTTTGAAGACATCCTCATGATTGGTTGTATTTTTAAAGTTTTCTATTGGAATGAGACAAGTCTAACAAAAAGTTTCTTTAACTACTCATTGTAACATGCATGACAGGTTCCAGTATTACTATTCTTTGCTTCACTCATAGGTTTTGGTAACAGACTAATGTGCAGCTATGCATGATGATGATACACTGATAAGCATTTATTTTCTTTAGGATAATCTGATAAAGACTCATTTACTTGGTGAACTGATAACATTTATTTTTTAATTATGATAATCTGATAAACATTTGTTAGTTGTGTATCCTTTTTACAGGACGTTGCAGAACCAACCCCAGCATTTTTTAGCTGTTGTGGTTTATCTAGGCAAATTTTCGACCAGTAGTTTGCCATTGCTTTCTAGACAGTTGGCTTCTTGATACCACCATCGAAACCAGCCCTCAGCTGGGATCTAACCTGGCACCACGGCATTACCTGATAAACATTACAAGGTGATAATAAGTTGACAGACATTTTCTTCATGATAAGCTGATAAACATTTATTTTCTTGGTGATAATCTGATAATATTTCTTTATTTGGCGGTGATAATCTGATAACCATTTATTACGTGGTGATGATAAAATGGTAACTATTTCCCTTTTTGTAAGTGATCAGCTGATAAGTATTATTTCTCTATCTGAACAATAAACATATTTCTATCTGAATGAATAAACAAACTTCATTTTTTAAATGTCACAAATTGGGCAAGCAGGCCATCTTACATTCAGCTAAAACACTTATTTATCACATTGTAATTGTATGTTAACTATACAGCAAGTTATATTCATATAACAATATACATTTTGCAATTATCAAGTAAAAATACAAAAGCATGGATGGCAAAAGCATACATTCAGTTATTCATGTCTTTCAAATATGGTAAGCTGATAAATGTTTATATATCTCCAGGTAATGAGATGATAAGATTTCAATATTCATAAGTGATGTGATGATAAACATTTCTGTATTTGGAGGTGATAAGTCAATAGACATTTCTCTGTTAGGTGATAAGTCAAAAAAAATATTTTTCTATATGGAGATGAGAAGTTTTTAAACATTGTCCTATATGAAGGTGATAAGTTTATAAACTTTTCTCTGCTTGGTGATAATAAGCTAATAACCATGTCTTGGCTTGATGAGCAGACAACCAGTTCTCTACTTGGTGATGATATAATAACCATCTGTCTGCTTAGTGATAACCATTGGTCTGTCTGATAGTAAGGCAATAATCAATTGTCTGCTTGGTGATATCGTGATAATCATTTGTCTGCTTGGTGATAAGGTGACAAACAATTTTTTGCTTGGTGACAAGGTGACCACCATTACACTATTTGAACTCTTTTATTACCAAACAGTTCAATATACATTTAAAAAAAAAATTTCTCTTTGTGTGTTATATGTTTGGAAACTTCGGTAACAAACTTTTGTTATGTTTACCAATTTTAGACACAATGACAGTTTAACTGGTTTTGCCCCATAACTGTTTTATTTCCACTCCTTCAGACTCTGGTGATCATGCCTACTGGTAAGAAAAAAGTACTGAATCAACAATAGTCAGGGACTGACACTAGTTAAGCTCTTTGGTAAGAGATAAGATATTCAGGGTAGCACTGATTCTGGTCATACACAACAAATTCTCTGAAAATCCATCTTCCATCTCCCATGACAGAATCATAGAGCTCCTGATTGGAACAAGAGCATTTGTCACTGCTGCACTGTATACATGGAGGCCGAGTTAGTTTTACAGATTCTGTGAAAACAAAATTGTCAACTGTGAAAAAAAATCAATATCTCAGTTTAACATCTGTAAAACAAAGTAAATGTCAATTATTGTCTTGTACAAAACAGAGTAGGAATTATACTGCCTTCTGTAGACTGCACATAGTGTGTTTACAGTAATAATGTGAATTTTACCAACCACACCAGTCCTATGATGGTTTCTTACTCTTCTTTGGCTTCCTGCATAGTGCTCTTGTCTAACCACACCGCTTTTTAACATGCTTTCTTGCAGTCTGATCATGGTTACAGATTCACAATCATCACTTGGTTCTCGTAGAGCATTCAGTATATCAGCATGGTCCAAGGCACGTCCTACCACCATGGTAGCTTTACCTGCCAGCCTATCAGCTTGCTCATTTCCCTGCTTGCTTGTGTGCATGGCACAAATATAAAACTGATATGCATCAGTCCTGATGCCAGCCCATTTCTATTTTCCAGAGCATATTCACTGAGTCACAGAGAAATCATGCACTGGTAAGGATCTGCGTCTTCAGCCATGTTATAACTTTGGTCACTGTCATGACCTCCATACACAGACAGACTACTTGTAGTCAAGGCGAAAGCACCAGAATCTCCCCCCAAAAAATTCCTTTGGTACTGGTTGCAACTCGATAGTGTGGAGACGTGGTTGGTATGATTATACGTACCCCCCCAAAGAAGAAAAAACAGAAAAATAATTGTTGTGAGATATTATAAAAAAATAATTTTTTTTTAGTTGCATATCCTTTACAGGACATTGCAGAACCAACCCCAGCAGCCCCTGGCTGTTGCGTGGTTTCTCTAGGCAAGTTTACATCCAGTAGTTTGCCATTGCTTTCTGGACGGCCGGCCCCCTGGTACCACTGTCGAAACCAAAGCAAGGCACATGGCCTGCAGCTGGGATAGAACCCGGCACCCCGGCATTACGAAGAGTTTGCTTCGACTTAGCCACAGAGCCGACAGATATTATTTGGGGTGACAAAATCCATATTTTGGGTCAGTGTGACATAACAATAAATTGATGATGATCCATTACTTTCTTCTCTGTGGCTGTGTCAAGAAAATATCTATTTTCTTGGTATGAGGGAAGGAAAGCAGCTCTCTGCTCCATCAATATTTAGTGAATACTTCCCTTCATTAAAAAAATAAAAAACCTCAAAACAAGCACTTCTGTGCAAAATAATGACTCCATCTATAAAATGTCCATATTTTAGTGATTTGCAGGGGGTGTATGCAACAGCTAGCAGGTTTGACTGTCTGCTCAGTGGTGATAGGTTTCAACTTTCTGGATTTTCATAAAAACTTATCAAGACTGCACATTTATTCTGCTTCTTCTTTTCTTTCTCTAGTTTCTCAAGGTAGGGTTTCAGAGAATAGTATTGATGCATTTCTTGTGAACAAAATTTGAATTTTTTTTTTTTCAAAGATTTCATGAGGTGAAAGTGTAAAACTGTTTTTCAGCACACACACAAAAAAACCATTTTCTGTTCACTGATCACTCCTAAAACGATAAGCTTCTCTTAACTTTTTATTCTTCATTCAGTCAGCAGGTTAAGCTCTTCTATTCTAATGCTTTTAGGGTAATTCATTTTTATCTCAAAGTACTGTTATTAGAACAAACTATGTTTTACTTAAACTATAACACGTTAAGAATATGATGGGCTAAATTAACACCGGCTCAGAATAGAAAGGGGGTTCAATGACTAAGTGGTTAAGTCATCTGACTTTCACTGACTGCATCATTTAGTGCAATATTTATGGAAATTTCTGGGCATAATCGCCGGAGCCTAGAAGTCTGAGCTTTGTACACCATTCTTACAAAGTGTTTAGCCACTATGTGGATAGAGACCAGGCCATATATGATAAAATCTGGTGCAATGAGGTCTCTTTACTCTAAACGTATAAACTTAAGAGAACTTACGAGGTCCTAGGTAGTTAGCATCCTTTTGATATTTTCTCCACGTTATGCCTGTGTGTTGGGAAATGAGCAGGCAGATAGACTGGCCAGTTCTGCACCACTTGGTGATTCATATTTATGGCATTGTGGTGCTGGGGTGTCTGCGGATTACCTACCTCTCCGGGCAGCAGCCAGAAATGCCCTGTTTTAGTTCTAAGGGAAATATGGATTGTGTTTCTGGCTTTCCCTTTAGCACGTAGCTTAAGTGGGGCTCACAGTATGCTCATTCCCAGCCACCAGATTGCCTGCTGGTTTTGGTGAGCTCTTCATGGCTCTAAGCATGGCCTAATCATGAGTAGATGGGGCAACTGGATCGTCACATCTCGAGTCCCTGTGCCTTCACAATAGTTTCTGGTATTCAAAGAGGGTGGGTGGGGGGGGGGGGGGGGGTTTAACATACTTGTTTCCACTGCTAAGACTGTTCAGCACCCTTCCGGCTCTTCACCTCCCACTGGGGGCAGTATGGTGTGGTGCACCAGATTTATTATCGAGGTTTGCTCCTCTAGATCCATTGTGTTTTGCCTGGGGATTCACACTCCAAGTTACCAGGACTACCTCAGGGAGGGTGTGGCTCTTCCCCACCTACAATGGTCTTGGGGTAAGAGAGGTTATGCTAAGTTAAGAGGCTGACACCACAATGGACGCTTCTTTCATGAACAGATATTCACTAGACCTAGGGTGAAGTAAGGGGGAAAAACCATTACCCAGAACACCAACACTTCATACCCCCCGCCTCTCAAGGCTCAGTCCCGCAACACTTGATGGTAAACTTATGTACGAAAAGCTAGATGTTGTGAGGGCCCTTTGAGAGTGAGTAAATAGTGCGGAGGCACAGATAAATCATTACGATATGAGGAATATAGTGCTACCAGTAGTTACCAGGGGAAATGGCCGACACTCACCACTCAAGGGAAAGGCGATACGGATATACAATCAGACGGTTACTGGTACCTTTGGAAATGGAACTCTTCGCATGCTGTTGAAGATGGGGCACTTATGGGAGTGTCCTGAGTTCTACGATATCTATTCTTAATCCTACCTTCAACTTAAGAGAACAGTAAATTTACAGTATGAAGTACTTACGCTTGTTTAAAACACTTGGGTGGTTGCTGTCACACAGAAAAACATTTCCTAGCAGAACTCTTGCCAGAACCATATACAGTGTTGTTCCTGGCTGGGTTCGCTGCTGACGTGAATCTGAATAGAAAGCAGATGACCAGGTTATATAACTTTTAACTCAACTCTTTGAATCCCGGGGGTTTAGCATCACAGTGGTAGTAAAAAGAAACATAAAATTGGCGCATCCTGCATTCACTGGACTTCTAGGTAAAACCTATGAACATAAGATGCGTTCCCTGGGACTTCAGTCCCAGCTAGCAACCACTTCAACTTATTCTACCACTAGTTGTTCTGCTCTAAAGGCTATGTATGGCTCAGAAAGGGTTAAGATAAAGGCACCATGGAGCAGAAGTAATTACGCAAACAATTTGGTTAAAATAAGCTCATGGAAGCTGCGGAGATGTGGTTTTATAGACAAATGATGAGAATACGCTGGACAGATAAGAGAAGTAATGAAGATGTCTTGAAAGAGAGTGATTCACTCACAAAAACTGATTTCCCACATCAGAAAGAGACAGTCTACATTCTTTGGTCATGTCAAGTAAAGCTGATTATTGTACTTCTAAATCCCTAATATTATAAAAATTGAGAGTTTTAATTTCATATGAGTTCCACACATTTCTCAGTGCCATGAAGATGTCCCCTGCCTTCAGTATTTGCCTATTTACATCTCTGTATGGTTCCTGTATAGTCATCTACATTGCTGCCTATGTATGTGTTTGACCCCACATCTAGAATTGGAATTTCAACAAGAGAGATTGGATTGTTTCTTGCATATTTTCATTATCTTTGCTCTTGCCCTACACATTTTTAGACCCAACTGTTATGATCTCTCAGCAGGTATATTCAATTCCTCTTGCATCTTAGTTCATGAGGGGGACAGGAGGGGCATGTTGTCAGCAAAGTCCACCTCATTGAGCTACTCTGTTGGGGTTCTTTGAAATTCTTTATGGGTGGTAGATGTTGCAATCTTCAAAATCTAGTCTTTAGTTAGTATGAATTATAGAGGTGAGAAAAATAAACATTTGGGAAATTGTTGGGAAATAAGCAGACAGATAGACTGGCTGGCTCTGCACCACTTGGAGGTGAACTGATGTATGACAAGTTAGATATTGTGAGGGCCCTTTGGGAGTGAGTGAACAGGCAAAGATAGATTATTACGGTCTAAGGAGAATGGCGCTATGAGGAGTTAACAGGGGATCTGGTTGACGCTTAACACTCAGGTTAAGGATGAGACGGATAAACTATCAGACGGTTAGTGGTACCATCTGATTTAGAACTCTTCGCTTGCTGCTGAAGATGAGGACTGAGCACTTATAAGAATGTCCCGAGTGCTGTGATATAGATTCTTAACTCAACATTCAATCACACAGGCATTAATAATACTAATATGCCCTAATGTTGCTACTTTAGGGTCATGTCTGTCTTTATTTCATGAAGATTTTTGAGCGTGTGTGGTTGTTGATTGCTTTGCCGGTGTCGGTTTGACATCACAAAAGAAATCTGTTTTCTGTAACTGTAAATTTGTTTAGCCAAAATTTGCATTTTCCACAAGTTTAAAATTTCACAGAGTAAAAGTAAAGTAAAGGCCCCTTTTCCACGCCACTAGGCGTATAGAGCATATAGGGCATATAGGGCTAGACCTATATTTTTTATAGACCAATCGGCACAAGATGGGTGATGTGGTCAGCATCATGCCGGCTGTCTTTACTTCCCAGGACAGCACCGAGTACCCACTCAAGGCTGGGTCAACCTGGGAGCCAAGGTCATTTTTGAAAATTGTCCGGCTCCACCAGGAAGCTAACCAACGACCTTCCGATCCGCGGCGAGCGTCTAGCCGTTCGGCCACGACGACTCCCTAAAATTGCACAGATTTACCAGTTAAGCCTGTTTCATTAGCTTAACAGTATGTAGTCATAACAACCCCAAACACAGGAAATACAGCTAAAATATATCTGATGTGAATGCTAGAGGACACCCATGCAGAATAATAATTGATAACATTAAAGACATTGCACATTAGCATGGAAACAAACACAATGGCCAGTGCCAAGCATTAAGCACTGAACTAAAAATTGTTCCTCCCTCCCCACGATGCCTGAGAGCAAAACTGGAAACTGAATGTTGAATTCAGAATTAAGAATCGGCATCACAGCACTCAGGACATTCCCATAAGCACTCCCTCCTCATCTTCAGCAGCAAGCACAAAATTCAAATTTCAGTGGTACCAGTAACAGTGTGACTGTATATCAGTTCCACCTTTTCCTTGAGTGCTGAGCGTGGGCCGGATCTTTTGGTCACTTCTTGCAGCACTAGTTTCCTCAAACCGTGATGATCTTTTTGTGCCTCTGCACATCAACTGCTCTAAAAGACTCTTACAACATCTAGTTTCTCATGCACCAATTCACCACCAAATGGTGCAGAACCAGGCAGTCTATCTGCATTTTCATTTCCAAAAATGCTGGCATGACATAAGAAAGTATTGAAAGGATGTCCTGGACCTCTGAAGCGATGCTTGCCATTCTGTATGGAACATATCTGTCTCCACCTTTCCCAACATGCTCTGTGAATCAGTTACAATTACGACATGCGTGTACGGCTAGTAACTGGAAACTGATGATGATAAAACCATTTAATTTTCACATGTAATTGCCTAACAGTAGTATGGAAAATAGGAAAAACACTGCAAAAATATAATCGAAAACACTTTTTAAAGGTAACAAGCAAACTGGTCAACAAATGTTCAAAAATTGTACACTGAATGAATGACTTACCAGTATACTGGTCAGCTTTGGTAAATGCCTCTGCTGTATAGATGCCTTTACCAAACATGCCTGCTTCATTAGAAACCCGTGGATCAATGCCATTTGCGGCAATTGCTTTAGGAGCCTTTGTGCCATGAAATAAATAATGTTCATTCACTTCATAATAAAGTTCTTCTTTCATGAAGCTTTTCAGATGCTCTGTTGTTATTACTCTTCCTTTTGACCCACGAATTTTCCCAATATCAGGGCAAATTTTATTTTTTGATAGCATTTTCTTGAAAAGTAACTTTCTCTGTGTTGAATACAGCTCAAATAATGTCAAATTTTCTATCCTTTTCACATCAATGACTCTAATTTTACTGTGTGTTAGTCCAAAAGCATCATTGCCTTGTCCAACAAGATTTGGATCCCAAGTTTTGTTTATGAGATCTATAACAGATTGCTTGGTCTCCGGCTCAACACTGACCCATAATTTCTCTGACTTATGAGAGGTGAAAACATCTTTTAGTTTCGTCATCAACCCCTTTTCTGGATTTAAATTGTTTCGTTTCCAGTAAGATGGAAACAACTCATCACTTTCAGAGGCATGTTTCAAAAATTCACAACCACCTCGTTTTGGCGCTTTAGGCGATTTTATTCGGTTCTTTGGCAAATGAGATGAGAAGTCATGGAGTTCTTTGTTAATGGTCTTAACAACTTTCTCAACCTGTTGCTTCGCTCCTTTGACAAGGTATCCTGGCTTGTTTGTCTTGGGATGTTTAGATATTTCAACCCATACACATGATTTCTTAGCCTCTTGAAGGATGCGAGCTCTGGAATCCTTCGGCCAAATATTAACCAAATCTTGATTGACATAATCTTTGTGCAAGCAAACTTTAGTGATCAAGTCTTTCAAAGCTGACCATATAGTTTCTATGCCATTACCATGAAGTACAGTAATACTGATTTCTGCATTACCTGACTTTTGTAAATCATGTTCAACAACTGACTCTTCATCCTCATTATCCGATTCTTCTTCATCACTTTCTTCACTTTCATCTTCTTCATCTTTTGAGATGGGTACAGCAGGTACTGATGAACTCATTGCCCCTGCATCTCTGGCAGGGGAAATCCTGAAGTGATTGGATACTTTACTTTTGAACTCTTTGAAAAGCTCTGCATCTGGTGCTAAAAGCACAATCTTTTGTAAAGCTTGTCCAACCTGGGATGCCTTTATGCTTGCTAACGTAATTTCTGCAACATCAGATGGAGGGAAACGAAATGCTTTTCCACAGCCCAAGACAGGAAAAGAAACAGACTTAGCTCCTAAAGCAACTGCCTGTGTAATAACTGACTGAATTGATGTGGACAGTTGTGCCGGGGATGAGTTTGGATCCCACTGAGTAAACACTATATGACAAATAGCCTGACATTTTAGATGGCTAAATGGTCCCTTTGTTGTGAGGACTACATCAGTTGGGTGAGCCTCTTGTTCAGATTGTAGAGTTTTCCTCAATGAATGGCAAACTTTGTTAAACGCCTGTCCAACTCTTGTCTTGCGCAGGTCAATTTGTGTAGTCAGCAGATTGACTAAAACATCAGAAGTTTCTCTTGTGATGTCACCATATGGTTTAATAACCAACTGGCAGGTGTTATTTATGTCCAGCTTTAATTTATCTTCTGTCGGTACCGGGAAAGCATCCCGTGAGGGCTCTTTTTGTTTGAATACTGAATGAACAGCCTGCTGAGTTTTCTTGTATGTTCCTACATTGAAAGACTCTAAACTTGGTAGTTTATAAGAAACTATACACTTTTTTGTTGCTTCAAAAGTGTCAATCTTTTTCTTAATTTTATCTGATGCAAAACCTTTGACAATCAACATCAATTCTTCTGGTTTCTTGAATTCAGACCTCAAATCCCAAGATCTGTGCATCACTGATTTTTGTAAATCTGTCAGATTTCTGTAGACCTGTTGTACAGCTTTCCTATCTCCTTTAAATTTTATAGCTATGTCAGCTTCTGTTGATAAATAATCAGCTGTCTTAACTGCTTGCAAATACTGTCGGATCTTGTCTTCACAGAATCTATGAAGCAATTTTGCAGGCAAACCTTTGATAGAAAATGAATTTTCATGATCAGCATGCTCATTCATGAGTGTCTGAATCTCTCTGATTGCTTCAAAAACATCATCCTTGATACCTTCAATATAAATTTCTGTTTCCTTATCGTTCCAGGAAATCTGAACAAGAAATTTTGCTTCTAATTTCAACTTTAGAAACTGTAGTTTTTCTGTGGGTATTTCTGCATCAGTTGTAGTAGTTTCCTTATAATTTAATCTGTCACTTAGAAAATCTATTTTTTCTTTTAAGGCCTCGACACTTTTAGCAACTACTAACAGATATGTATCACGGAGTAATACTTTGGCTCCATTTGTATTCACACTCTGAAGGTACTGTTTGCCTTGTTCTTTGCACAGAATGGATTGCAGAACTTGAGTGATTTCTAGTGGTTTCTCCTGTAACTTTGTAAGTTCTTTCAATAATTTCAACTGCTGCTCTTTGACATTTTCGGATTTTCCCTCTACAACAGCAAAACTTCCATCAAAAGAAATATGACAATCTTCAAAATCTCCAAAACAATGTGGCAAGAATTCTTTCTGCCACACTGCCATTTCTACTTTTTCAGTGCACTGTTTTGGCTGTTCATCTTTTCTGGCTAATTCTTCTTGAAGCTGCTTTATTTTTGCATCTTTCAGTGCAAGTTCACTTTCTAATTTGTTTTTAATTTTCTGCTCAACTTCCTGAAATCTGTGTTTGTCTGCAGGTAAATCATGATTGTGATTTACACCTAGTGTCTCCTCTTGTGATGTTCTTCCCGCTCTGATACTAAATGATGTTTCCTGATCACTGTTTGCAAGAGATGTACAGCTTGTGCTGTGCTGTTTGCCCATATTTGGTCTGAAAATGGGAGCATCCACATTCCAATGACGACGATCTTCTGATTCATCCAATCTTGTATCATTACAAACTTCATGTTCACGGGTCTGAAAACTTTTGCCCATCTCACTGACACGATACACAGCCCCACCCCGTCCACGGAAGTTAGGGGTCTTCTTGCGGTTTATCTGATTCACTTCTGACTTCATTTCAACATCAATACCATCATCAAGTGAATGGACAGAAAGAGAACGTGACTGAAACTTGTCAGTCATTTTTCCTCTTCCATTTGTAAAAGCCATTTTCCCAGGCTGTTTTTCATATTTGCTTCCTAGATCTCTTCTCTCATGAGATGCATTTCTGATAGAAGATGATCGGTCTCTCATTTTATCTTTTATTTTTTCTTCATTTTCTTCATTCGATTTTCTTCTCGCGGATGATGTGAGAACTCTCATTGCTATAGCACCTCTTCCCCTAAATCCACCTCTGAGAGCTGATGATCCTTGTTTGGATGGAACAGTGGTATCCAAATGTTGAGCCCTGTTAAGTCCCTGAATTGAAGCTGATCCAATTTTTGCATTTTCTATTTCCGAGTCACTTTCTTGTAAACTATCTGATTCAGAATCATCATCCTCAGGTTTTTTATTTTTACCTTCTTTAGTTTCACTTTCATCTGTATCTTCTTCTTCACTAGAACTGGTCTCTTCTTCTTCTTCACTAACACCATCATCTTCTTCGCTATCTTCTTCCATCTGTTCTTCAGCATCTTCCCCCATGTCTTCTCCATCTTCGTCCAATACTCCTTGTTCTTCTGCAAGCTTTGTTACTTCATCATGTATCTGCTGCCCAATGTACTCATGAAAATTGTTGTAACAAGGATGGACAGAAATGTGATAGTCTTCAGATGGTAAAGGCACAAGGTCGGTGCTTTCCAAGATTTTCTCCACCACTGAAAGAGATAAACACAAAGAAGCTCATCAGATTCACAAACACAAATTGCAGTGAGAGGAAATTACAGTATTTTATAATAACGAGCTGTACCTGCCATGCGTTGCTGTGGCTTAGTTTGACAAAACGGAAAAGAAAGAAAATAAAAAGCGCACGTGTCTAATATGGTTAATATCACAATCATTGTCTGCGCAGGTATAGAGATAGTCTGGTTTTCTTACTCTATAACAAGCAGCATATAAGTGTGTATCTATATTAGTGATTAGTTGTATTATTAAAAAAAGATAACAGCTGAGGAAGCATTATTAAAATATAAATAAAATAAAAAATGAGAACTTTAAAATCATGTTTAAAGCTCTCTCAGGTAACAGGTAACAAGATGGGTGATGTGTCAGCATCACACCAGCCGCCTCTACTTCCCGAGACCACACCCAGTACCCACTCAAGGCTGGGTCGACATGGGAGTCAAGGTCATTTTTGAAAAAAGTCCAGCTCCACCAGGGAGCGAACCAACAAAACCACAATGTAGTCCCTCAATAAATTGTTTGGCTCGTTAATTAATTGTCCAGGATTTACAATCATATGTAAAATTTGGCTCAGTACAGCATTCAAAAATGATTTTTTCACCTCCCATGACAGGGATTTATTGCATAAGTTGTTCTTCATGATGCAAATATAAGCGCATAATTGTTTAGATTTTTGTTTATGATTTCTATTTTTGCACAAAAATATCTGCATAAGTGCTTCAGTCTCATCTTACAGATGCATAACCTCCAACAAAGATCCACTGTGTGTTTCTCATCTTTTAGATGTATTACCTTAAACAAAGATCTATTGTGTCTTTCACATCTTTTAGATGTATTACCTCCAACAAAGATCTATTGTGTCTTTCTCATCTTTTAGATGTATAACCTCCAACAAAGATCTATTGTGTCTTTCACATCTTTTAGATGTATTACCTCCAACAATGATCCACTGTGTGTTTCTCATCTTTTAGATGTATTACCTCCAACAAAGATCCATTGTGTCTTTCTCATCTTTTAGATGTATTACCTCCAACAATGATCCACTGTGTGTTTCTCATCTTTTAGATGTATTACCTCCAACAAAGATCTATTGTGTCTTTCTCATCTTTTAGATGTATAACCTCCAACATAGATCCACTGTGTGTTTCTCATCTTTTAGATGTATTACCTCCAACAATGATCCACTGTGTGTTTCTCATCTTTTAGATGTATTACCTCCAACCAAGATCCATTGTGTCTTTCTCATCTTTTAGATGTATTACCTCCAACAATGATCCACTGTGTGTTTCTCATCTTTTAGATGTATTACCTCAAACAAAGATCTATTGTGTCTTTCACATCTTTTAGATGTATTACCTCCAACAATGATCCACTGTGTGTTTCTCATCTTTTAGATGTATTACCTCCAACAAAGATCCTCTGTGTCTTTCACATCTTTTAGATGTATTACCTCCAACAAAGATCCATTGTGTTTTTCTCATCTTTTAGATGTATTACCTCCAACAATGATCCACTGTGTGTTTCTCATCTTTTAGATGTATAACCTCCAACAAAGATCCTCTGTGTCTTTCTCATCTTTTAGATGTTTTACCTTCAACAAAGATCCACTGTGTCTTTCTAATCTTTTAGATGTATTACCTCCAACAAAGATCCATTGTGTCTTTCTCATCTTTTAGATGTATTACCTCCAACAAAGATCTATGTGTCTTTCTCATCTTTTAGATGTATTGCCTCCAATAAAGATCCACTGTGTCTTTCTCATCTTTTAGATGTATTACCTCCAACAAAGATCCATTGTCTTTCTCATCTTTTAGATGTATTGCCTCCAATAAAGATCCGCTGTGTCTTTCTCATCTTTTAGATGTATTACCTCCAACAAACATCCATTGTGTCTTTCTCATCTTTTAGCAAAGATCCATGGTTTATACATACACAAATCATAAATATTATCATACATCTTAAAATCACTTCAAGGGTGGGTTTTTTCATTACTAAATTAAACCTGCTTCTGGGGGATTTTAATGTAGGTAGCAAAAGAACATCATGGAATGATAGAAAACAAGTGAGGTAGTCCTCTGCGAGAAAGAGGGAAATGTAAAAGTGATTACAGAAATTAACACGAGACAGCTTATATTGTTGTTTGTGTTCACCGGCTGTAAACGCCAGCAGAAAGACTTGGTTATTTGTCCATTTCTGGACTTAGGCTTTGTTCCAGGACCTGATTTTTGCTTGTGCATCTATTTTACAGATCTTGCTTATTTGTATGTAGACTGTTGGTTCCTTGCCTCTCAGACAGATGCACTCCGACTTCAAAGGAAGTTCTTAAGTAGTCGCCTCTTATAACACGCTTTTAGGGGAGGCAGTGGGTCTATTCTGGTTTCCCCCACTTCAATAGAACCCAGGAGTCCACACGGGAAATAGCTATTATTGTCTGGACGTATGAGAAGAAATGGTCTTGAAAGCTTGGTGATGGCTGGCAAGACTGATGCACACATCCCCCTAAAAAATGAAGGGCAGGCAAAGAGAAAAGTATCTGAATGGTTTGGACATGTAAATGGAACAAGACAAGAGTACTGACCAGATTCCTGATTCTGGGAAAGAGGTTGGATGGCAATATAGGACAACCTATGCTTACTAGCAGGGCACATGATGATGATGAAAACATAAAGATCTCCAAATTTATTTGCAGTTGTTCCCCATGTGAGTTCCATTGTGGAAAAACAAGAATAGACCCACTGCCTTCCCAACAAGCATGTCCTTCCAGTCGACTAACAGGGGACTTCCTTTGAAGTTGGAGTGCATCTGCCTGAGTGGCAAGGAACAACCAGCTTCAAACAAATACGCCAGGAAAATGAATATACACACAAAACTCAGGCCCTGACACAAATTCAAAGTCCAAGCAGACAAACAACCAGGATTTTCAGCAAGAGCATACAGCCGGTGAACAAAGAAGAAGAAGAAGAAAAAGAAGAATTTGCCACTGTCACAGAAAGCTACATATCTGATTCACTGCCCTAAGATCAGGGATAAGTATACTAATCTGTGTGTGTGCGTGTGTGTACAAATTTACAGAGCATGTGCAAATGGAATCAGGTGAGACAAATAAGAAGAGTTAAAGAAGGGGTGGAGAACTTTTTTAAATCTCTAGTTGAGGGCCATCTGAATATGTATACTGTCATCAGCATTTCATACAAATTTGTCAGTTTAATAATTAGTCTACTATAATGAGTCAAACATTTAACTGCTGTTGCCTTGGCAGGGCCACATACAATGCTGTTGCAGGCCTAATACGACTTACTAAACAGATGTCTCATTCCGAAATCAAAGCATTAAGCACACAACAATATAATTACCTGCTTTTTGAAGAGGGTGGAAGTTAACCACAGCCATGTTTAGCTCCGGCCAGGCATTGGATGACTCTATGATATCATAGCCATCAGCAAATTCACTCTCAAAATACAAACATAAAAACTCCTCAGATAACTTCTGAAAATCAATACTTTTCACAACAACTGCAGCTTCTCTGGATGTGGTCAGTAACTTTACTTTATTAGATTCCAAGTAGGCTCTGGCAATTTTCTCCTTGGCTTTTGAGATGTCTGAGAACATATAAGTAAAATATTATCTGTAAGTTACTGACATTGCTTAGTGCAACAAAGTCTAGCACATGATATCACGACTAGTTTGAGAATGGAGGTGGAGGCAGTCACTGATGCCCTCCACTGGCTTGAGAATCAGCTATACACACATGCTGTGATTGTAACTGACTTGAAGAGCATGTTGAGGAATGTGCATGCATGCTCTGCGCAGAGTGGCAAGCATAACTTTAGAGGTCCCGACTAGTTAGCGTGCTTTGGATATTTTCACAGGTCACGCCGGTGTTGTGGGAAATGAGCGGGCAGATTGACTGGCCCATTCTGCACCACTTGGTAGTGAGCTGATGTATGACAAGCCAGATGCTGTAAGTGCCCTTTGGGAGTGAGTGAACAGTGAGGAGGCAAAAACATCATTGCGGTCTGAGGAGAATGGCACTGCGAATGGAGTTTACCAGGGGATCTGGCCGATGCTCAACACTTAAGGAAAAGGTGAGATGGATATACAATCAGACAGTTACTGGTGCCATTGGAACTGGAACTTTTCGCATGCTGCTGAAGATGGGGACAAAGCGCTTATGGGAGTGTCCCAAGTGCTGTGTTGTTGATTCTTAATTCAACATTCAGTACATTTATGAGAGTGTGTAGTATTATGTTAAAAAAAAGCATATAAAACTATGCTAACCTTTACTGTATGTATGTGCTGCTTTTACAAAGTACTTTTCATAATACTGTTGCATTAGACATATGGTGATAGGTCCACTTATTTTTTTTTAATTTTGATTTTAAATTTTAAATACTGATCAATTAAAACTGGTATGATCATCACCACACCAGCTACCTTTATTTTCCTAGGAATTTCCTGATACCATATGCTCATTTGGGTTACTTTTCGTCCTTCTTAGGACGTTATTTTTTGTTGTTTGAAGCCCCACTCTGGCGTTTGCCAGGGGCCGCAATATAGGCAGGTCATCATTATGGCCAAATGTCTGAACGCGGTTTCTGGGACCTCTCCACGGTGATCCTCATCCGCATGGTGGCACTTTGTGTCATCGGGTGTTTATCGCTTGTGTGATGTCCTGGTGGGGTAAAAAATCCATTCCATTCCATTCCTGATACCAGTTTTAATGGGTCAACCTGGCAGTCAAAGTCAATACTGGAAAATATATCCTAATGGGTATTCAAATGAAAGACCTTCAAAACAGCAGGCAGGCAGTTAGAAAATGCACTACCATAGCTCTCAAAATTATCTGTAATTTACATTTATTAACACATGAATATTTGCCTACTTGCTTTGACTGGCCTTGAAAAAGAAACATTGCAATTGTTAGGTTTGCAAATTATAATTTTTTTTGCATGCACATATTTCTTACAGACTATTATAAGAAATAAAAATATTCTAAATCAGCAGACTGATGTGTAGTTTACATTTGTTTCCTTTTAATTAGGTTTTTATCTTAAAAAAAAAAACACACAGTTGTATATCCTTTACTGAATATTCCCAAACTAATCCTAACATTTTTTTAGCTCTTCGCAATTTCAGTAGCCATTGTTTCATCGAGAAACAGCAGATCAAGTGGTTTGGCCATCTCGTTAGAATGCAGCAAGATCAAATGCCATCACAAGCACTACATCTCAGAAGATCAGCTGCAAGAGCAAGAGGACCGCCGCGGAAAATATGGATCGACAACATTAAAGACACTCTACGCCTTCATGGCATGACAATAGCCAGGGGCAGCCAACGTGCACTGGATCGCAAATTATTCCTCCCCAAACGCTTAACGGCAGAAGTGGTTTATGATGATGATAATTGTTTCGTTCAGTAGTTTACCACTGCTTTGCTACTTTGTGAACGGCTAGCTGTTGATACAACTGTCAAAACCAACATAAGGCAGTGTACTGCCGAATCACCTGCAGCTGGAATTGAACCCGGCACCTCAGAATTATGAAGGGCATTTGCAACACCTAAGCCACAGATGCTAATGAATTTGGTAAATAATACATTTTTTTAAAACTTTACTAAAAAGTCCAGGATATTCAGGTGTGTGAGGTAAGGATTAGGCTGAAAGATTTGCTACTGTCACTTTTCTGAGAATTCATACACTGAAAGACTAAATGGGGGGGGTGGGGGGGGGGGGATTTCTGGAAGATGTCAACTCTTCGTTAGCTGCTGAAGAAGGGGATGAAGCATGTGTGGGAATGTCACCGGTGCAGTGATGTCAGTTCTTGATTCATTCATACTTTATTAATAATTAAACTGTCTTCAAGATTTAGAGTGGCTGAATCAAGTATGTCATATTTTATGTTGTTTTACTTGCTTATTTTTGTTTTATATGTTAATATCTTTACATCTTTACTTCAGTCATTTACTTGTTTGTGTGTGTTGTGTTCTATACTGTTGATTACTCATGAAGGCTTGATGATGTAGATATCTTTGTTTCACTCTTTGAGTCCCAAGGAACGCATCATACATTCATAGGTTTCTACCTAGAAGCCCAATGAACGCATGATGCGCCAATTTTATTACTTTCTTTACTACCCCCTGGGTCTGTGATGCTAAATCCCTTGGGACTCAAAGAGTTAAAGTAAGCGTGATTTTGTAAAGCTGTAAATTGCATATCTTCTAACTGTTTAATTATAATTACTGGACATACAAAAGAGAAAATAAAGGATTTGTTCACACCACTGGTGCATTGGCATATGATGTTAGACTCATATTTTTCATTGACCAAATGGCACTTAGCATATGTTTTGGACATTCAAAAACATTTAGTTTAAAACCAAGCTTTGACTGCTCCTGAGGGATTCTCATCAAAATGGTGGAACTTTGTGTCACTGGGTATAATCGCTCATCGTGCGGTTCTGTTGGGGAACCCCACTCACTCATTGGCTGTAAACTGCAGCAGAAAGTTCTGGTCATTCCTTCACTTCTGTGTTTTTGTTCCAGAACTTGAGTGTTTTTTTTCTCCCTTTTCCAGATTTGCAGTCTGCAGGATTAATATTTCACAGATAAGAACCACAAGCTACAAAACCTAGAAACCCCTTTCAGCTGCATAACCACGTAGCACAGTTATATTGAGGCACCATAAAACGTTTTAAAAAACCTGTAGTGCAGTGTGGGTGGGTTTATAAGTTAAAATCCATTTTACAGATCTGATTTTTTTTTTAATATGCAGACTGCTGGTTCCTTGCCTCTTAAGTAGATGCACTCCATATTAGCTGCCATATTAGTAGACGAGTAGTGGGTCAGGTTTTTCAGGTATTCATTACACAAAAATGACCCATACTGGGATTTTTCAGGTATTCATTACACAAAAATGACCCATACTGGGGTTTTTCAGGTTTGATAAATAACTCTAGCCATAAAGTAAAATAATTACACATGGAGTCAGTTCAAATATGAGGCAAATTAAATTTTTCTTTTTTTAAATCCAACCTTTTAGTTTTTTCTCCAGGTAAACAAGAGCTCTTCCTTGAAGGAAGGGATACAGTTTAACCTTCTGAACATCGACATCAAGAGTACTCTCCACATAATCAACAATCATGGTTTTTTTGTAGTTGAGAGGTATATTCTGTAAAAGAAACACATTTGTAAATCAAGAGATAATGAATGAATAAATAAATGAATGAATAAATGAATAAATTAATGATTGAATGAATGAAGAACTGACATCATCGCACTCAGGACATTCCATCATGTGCTCCGTCACCTTCTTCGGTAACCAACAAAGAGTTAACATGCTAACAGTACCAGCTGCAACCTGATTAAAAGTCCGCCTCTCTTTCTCCTTCCATGAGAAAAAGCTTCCAGAACCTCCACACCCCCTGGACAAGATCCGACAGTCCCTGATTGACAGAGGACTGGAATGAAACAAAGTCAAAAAGAAAACTGCAGATTGAGAAGTCTCGCAAACCTCTACACGCCAAGTTAGAAAAGGATCATCTAAGTAAAATAATGTGCAGATGTAACTTTTCTATGCAAAATACAGTAGGTTGCAATTACTTTCTGTGAGAGCAGTGACCCTACTGGGCTGGTTGTCCTGGCCATTGTGCAAGGAAAGCATTCACTGTCTAGCTCAATTAAAGTGGTAAACTTGTCAACTGATCAGTACACAGGTAAGTAGGTAGCAAAATAAATAAATTTTAAATGACAATTTAAGACATGACTACAATATAACAATATAATATATAACAATAATGCAAATTACATAACTGACCCAAATAAATAATTACATGATATATAAAATGAATATATACCTTGAGAATTCAGTGATAACTTGGGGGTGGAGATTACTACAACTACATGAGTTGAGTCGATTCAAGAATCAACATCACAGCACTCTGGGCAATCCCATAAGCACTCCGTCCCCGTCTTCAGCAGCCAGCGCAGAGTTCCAATACTAGTGGTGCCAGTAGCAGTCTGATTATACATCATTCTTGCCTTTCCTCTGAGCGTTGAGTATCGGTCAGATCTCTTCGACACTCCTTGCTGTATCACTCTCACCAGACGACTTTGATTATTAGTTTGCTGTTCCGAATTGTACACATGCTCCCAAAAGGCCTTAACCACATTTGCTTTATCATACATCTGTATTCCAACAAGCCAGCCAGTCTGTCCGCCTGTTTATCTCCCAACACACCTGCATACCCTAGAGAAAAGATCCGGACAATACTCTTCACTCATGACCTCTGAAATGAAGCGTGCCACTGCACAAAGCATGCCTGTCCTAAACTTTCTCAGCATGCTTTCTGAATCAGTAACAATCATGTGTGTGTATCAAGTTCTCTAGCTAGCAGAAAGCTGCGGAGACTACCTCCACCTGCCTTCTTAAGCTGGGTGTGCTAGGCTCTCCTGCAACAAACATTGACCATTAGCTGTTGCTAAGAACTCCCTGGCACTTCTTTTGCCTCCTGACACTGAACTATTTCAGACATGTGTATAAATAATCACATCACCGGAGCTAGCATTATTTTGATTCGACTGCTGAATCTCCACCTCTGAGGTA